CTTTCTTCTTCTTTCATATCTGACGCACCCAAATGTGTCGTGTCCTTCTTCTTCTTGTTTGGTTTTCCGGCGGTTGGCGGCCTATTCTTCGCATTACCGCCACCTTCTGTTTCGTGGATGGGACAACACTCAGTTTGTGAAAAAGTCTGCGGTCTTTTCTTTGCCTCCTCACAGGCAGGAGAAGTCTTCTTCGAGAGTTCCTGTTAGCTGCTGCAGCCGATGCTGCTTCTTTGCTGCCCCCTGTGGGTCTGGGGGAGACGCTGATGGTGGTTTGTGGCAGAGACGATTTTTGGCCAAATGAAACAGACAGAAGTTTTCTCGGAAAAAACAGACAAACAAGAAACACAAACAAGTGTGTTAATTACCATACCAAACCAATGATTAATTACAATTCAAAATAAACCTATGGAATAATTAATATTAACATTTTAAACATTAGATTCTGAAAACCGAATTCTGCATTCAACTGCTATCCTAAGCCCTATTTTTCCAAAAGTATAATGCTCTCTAAGATCATTCTAACTTTTATATCACCAAAATGTAGGGAAAAAAAACTTGTCTAGACGCCTTGGAGATAAAAAATAAAAAATAAAATAATGCCTCTTTATAATCTAACTCAAAGTTCTGTGATCCTATGACTCCATGTCAGTAACATTATCGTGTGTATAAATGTAATTTTCTACAAATCAAAAAATGTCTTTGGTAATAGTTCTGTCTTCACGAGAGAGAGAGAGAGAGAGAGAGAGAGAGAGAGAGAGAGAGAGAGAGAGAGAGAGAGAGGAGAGAGAAGGAGGAGGAGGGGGAGGGCTCCCGAACAAAGGAAGCATGGAGTCTGAAATACTTTCCTCGTTTTTCTCGTGACAAGGTTTTAAATCAGTGGTAAAAGTTTCTCTCACGTCAAACGACACTTTACATTTTATCCTTAAATACGTCAGTAATGGAAAACATTACCATTTGCTACATGATTAATGTATCGAGAGTTCCAGCAGAATCTTTTTTTTTTTCCTGATTCTCTGTAACTATCGAAACATTACATCAGAATACAAGAGAAAAACTCCCAGACTGATCTTTTGTCATTTCTTCACATGAAACTCGTATACTACAGCCAAGAGGCTCTCTTTTTCCTCATTAATCAGATCATTATTATCAGAATCCACATTTTAAATACTTGGCTTTTCTTCTGTTTAAATTAATTGTGCCCTTTTCCCCACCCCCCGGGGGATATGGAGTTTTTATTATCCTATAACTTCTGACCCTAACTATCCCTATTTCTCTAATTCTATTCCTATTTTTTCACTAATTCCCTTGTGCCTCTCTGCACGAAGGTGTGCCTCTTTTGCACTTATAAACCCTGTGGCTCTTTTCCTGTATATTCTTTTTTAGAGAGAGACCAACATCCCTCAAGGTTCAAAAACGTCGAAAAACCTGACTATTGTTCTATCGCGTCCGATAGAATCGCCCGTCACGGCGGTCTGGCCACGCTGCAGTCATGCTGGGCCGAGATCTCTCTGTCTTCTATTTAAAACAATGTGCAGACTTTAGAAATGGTATCTGCTTACCTGTGTTTTGTAGTAGAGAGAGCCCCAAGACCCAACAGACCCAGTCTATCTATCTGAGCTCATCTTGCGTCTTCTTTCTGTATCAAATCACGTCTCGGGTCACCAAATGAAGCCAATAACTCCCTTTGGCTCGCGTGTCCACAATTTGGTACAGAAATCAGACGAAGATATCCAAGTTTAACATCTGCATTTAATTATCTTTACAATCAGATACAGAATATTCAACAAAAAAGTGCTCCTAAAACTAATATGTCCCTCTCCTCTTCCCCTGCGCTAACCTTCCCCCCAGAACTCAAACCAACAGTTTTATCAAGACGTCTGATGACGTCACTTGTGGGCGTCTCCCGAATGTTCTTTTCGGGTGTGCTGGCGTCCCGTGTCCACTGGGAGGCGTCAGAATGCCTTTGGAGAATCTCCCAGTCTGCCTGAGAGAGATTAGCCAGATGGTGGTTTGGACTTTTGGCCTCGCCAGAGAGACAAGAATGTTTATTCCTGGAGTTAATAATTTGTCCCGTTTTGAAAGTTGGTATCTCTATGACTGATTGTAGTTTCTCCATTTGACCCTCTTTATTCCTGTTTGCAATCCTTGTCCTTGGGGCTTTTCCCCGTGCACATTCTTCAGAGGGCCTATTTTCAAAATCATTAGTATACAACATTTTAATTATGCAACACCTGCTTTCCACTTTCAACGAAACCAGAGGAAGACCTGGTAAGACATTTACATGTAAAATTAATAAAATTAGAGTGTCATTCAAAAGTTCATTTATTTGTGTAAAACCAGAGCTGCACCAACAGCAGACCCAGATCAAAACCAAACCAGATCTATATATTCTATGATAAAATAGTGTTGTAATTCAGTACTTTGTTTCAGATCTGTCCTCCAATGTGACTCACACGCCCATGAATGAGACAGCAGAAGCTGAAGCGCTCTGGAGAGTATTCAACACACTCATTTTTATTGGGACACCTCTGCTGCTCACCTGCATGTGTGTGGAGCGCCACCTTGCTGTGAGTCGACCAGTATTGTACATGAAGATGCGGAAGATGAAGTACCGTGTGATGGTGTGTGCAGTGGTTTGGGTCATCACTGTGAGCTTCTCTGTCGCCTCTTGTAAGTATTTTTCATTCATTTTTTCATTTTTTTATTTATTTCATTCATTTAAAAACAAATGCAACAACAGCATTTAGCATGAATGAAAAGGAGCAGAAAGAAGTAAAAACTTATAATGTCTGCCCCCTATCAACACAAAATCATTTACAGTTCTAGTTCATTTAACTTTTAAGCTGTCTCATGCAGCCCTCTTTTTCCTTTTTTTTTTTTTTTTAATTTTGGTCCAAGACATCAAAACACAAAATACGTAAATAAAGTTGATCCGCTACTCCGCAGTATCATATTTCTGTAACATTGATCATTTAAAATACTTCTTAAACACGCAAATGGACTTAGAAGTTTTAATTTTACAATCAAGACTGTTCCACAGAGCGACACCATTGATTGATATACATCTTTCCTTTACAGCCGATTGAAACCTGGGTTTTGTAAAAACCTCAGTACCTTTTAGATCATATCTACTTTTTCTCTTAGTGAATCTGTTTTGCAAATTGTTTGGTAAATTTTCCAGATGAGCTTTATACATGACTTTTAGTAGGTTAAACTCTACTAATTCGTTAAATTTAAGCGTTTTTAGTTGTATGAACAAAGGATTGGTATGGTCTCTGTATCCTTTTCCACTAATGACTCTAATCGCTTTTTTCTGTAAAAGAAAAATTGGATTAATGTATGTTTTGCAGGCACTTCCCCACACTTCAATGCAGTAGGTCAGATATGGAACAATCAATGAGTTATACAACAAGAACAATGCACTCTTGTTTAGAGAATCTTTGACTTTATGCACCACAGCTATTAAGTAAGATAAGTGTATGACACAGGCTACTTGCTTCATTAAAAATGTCTGTGGGATTCTTGTACGTTTATTTTTTTTAAACAAGAAAACAGTAGTTGCAAAAAATTTGAAAACATAATTAAACTGACAGGAAACATACACATCAATTTGATCATTGGAGCAGGGCATAATTAGGCCTAGTTAATTTGTTTACCCATGACCCTATACACCCCAACCAGTTGGTTTTGTTCACTGTCTTTATGGACAGAATTTCTTAGTGCAGCCATGAAGTGTCCACATGATATCTGGTTTTGGGAACGCAGGATTTCATCTCTGCCGTTTGCTGACGATGTTGCCTTGTTGTATTCAACAAACCAAGATCTTCAACATATTCTGGGACATTTGCAGCCAGGATATTTGGAGAGACTTGAACAGAAAAAACAGGGGTTTCATTAGAAAATTATATTGGTTGGCAATTATGAGACTACATAACACATCATTTGTAATCGAGATTACATTTGTTGCATGCTGTGCGAGAAATGTGGTTAGGATTTGGCAATTAGACCCTTGCAGAGCACTGCACAATGATTGCAGAAATGAAAATAAAGATTATGAGATGAAATTCCCTGGGTCTAGAACCTGGTGGAGGTAGCTCAGAGAAGGGTGAAAGAGCTGGTACCATCGTCGAGGTGATGGGGAGGAGGAGGGTTGCCAAGGCTTAATTGCTGCCAGGTGAGGATTGGCAGTGTGTGAGTGTGATTAACTGATTGCTGTTGCTTCCAGACTGAACTTTCACTTAAGCTTCATACGTTCGGCGCAGGACCAGAGTCTATACATTCTCCAGCTTAGATAAATAGATAAGATACTTTATTGATCCTCGTAGGATAAATTCAGGCCTCCAGTAGCAGCAGAAACACGTGCATTCATTCAAACAAAACAAATAAATAGATCATTCTACAAAATAGTTAACAATAGTATTAAAGTGCCACAGCACTTTAGGTCACAGCAGCAGAGGTGGAGTAGCCATTGGGGGCAGAGTAGCCATGGGGCAGAGCAGGAGGGGTTACTGCAGCAGAGGAGCAGCCGCTTGGTTCGGACCCTTTTTTCTGCTACAGTCCAACATGAAATGCTGAATGCTTTGTTAGCATTTTTCAAGAAGTTAGCATTCCTCTTGTGGATTTTCGCTTTATCCGCTGGTTTCAGACCATGAGTCCTCTCTGCCTCTCAGGTTTGGACCTGCAGTAACATTCACAGGTAGAAAAAAGCAAGAAAAATAACAATTGTAAAAGCACAAAACAACAACTGTTTCAGAGCTACTCAGGACTTGCTGCAGTTTCCAATGTATAGTTTGTAATCTAGAGTATGTAATGAGTCTGAGAACTGATTTGCTGGATAGATTACAGAGAATTCCTTATTTAATAAACAAATGCACGCAATGATTTCAATACTAATATTTATGCATTATTTTTCAGGGTTCTTGGGTACAATCCAGATCATAGTCCCTGTCTCCATCATTGTTACCGTTCTGTTTGTTGTCATGTTGCTGTGTTTGGGCACAATGATATGGTCACTTGGGAGGAAGTCCCCTGCTCATGAGTCTCCTGGCTCTACCCATGACTCGCCTCAGAAACGTCAGGCGGTCCAGAGTCTGCTCATCGTAGTGGTGTCGGCCACTTTGGTGTACTTGCCTGCGCTGGCCCTAATCCCTATGATCCTCTATATCCACCACAACAGAGGGTCAGCCTTGTCCGAAGAAACCGTGTGTAATGTGTTTCTGTGCTCACTGCTGTTCCCTCGGTTTGGGGTGCTCATTGGACCTCTGTTCTTCTTCTCGAAAGCAAAGCAAATGTTCAAGCTTAAGAGGCGAGGCATTTCTGGATGACTTCTGCATTTCACAGGTCAGGTCAAGTTTAAAGTATCAATAACTTAGGAGCTCTATATGCCATACTTCAAAATACCTACATAAACTTTTACTTGAGTAAACACTTTCTTAGTCCTGTACATATTTTAAACTTAATTGTTAAATCACATTGCTTGTTTAACTCATTGCCTGCCAGCCTATTTCAGAACAGGTGCTCCCATATTGCCAACCATTTCTGATGGTTTTTTACGGATTTTTCAAGACCCACAGAATATTGTGTACTGTGACTACCTGAGAGAATGGACTGTCTCCTTTCATCAGCAAAAATAATTTTGTTTCTAGCTTGTTTCGTTCCCCTGTAATCCGCAGTCGAGTAGAGGGAAGTTTTACTCTAATCACCAATAAGCTGAGAAAAAATAGGCACAAGTGCATTCTGTTTTCAAAACATACAGAGGCAGCGCTGCTGCCACCTGCTGGCTCGATAAAATATGCTCTAAAGCTAATCCCCATACATATTAGATATAATAGACATATGGGAACATGAAAATAGCGGACAATGGCAGACAAATGCAGCCAGCGAAAGTTCAATTTGGTAGACGTCAGCCAAAGGTAACCCCTCCAGGCCGGTTCTCATCCCCAGCCTATCGCGCTGCAAACGCCCCTTCCAATCACCGCACCAAGCGGAGAAACTCCCACTCTCTGCCTTCTCGAAGCCTTGCATGAATCGTTCTAAAGGAATCGCTTTTGTCTACTCACGCTTACTCCTGCGGTCCCTGCTGTCCTCTGTCTTGCTGCGTGGTCTGCTCTTCCTCCGCGTCGCTGCTCCTGCTGCGGGTCTCGTGCTGTGGTCCGTGGTCTTTGCCGCTCTCCTCCTTTGCGGGCTCTTTCTGCGGGTTCGCCGCTGCTCGTCTCGTCGCGGCCTGCTGCTGCATACGGCCGGTCTGGCCCGGTGCGGTGGGGGCTGTGCGCATCCCTGCCTCCTCGTGTGGTACGGCGTGGTCCCGTTGTGTTGTCCCTTGTCTTCTGGCGTTGTGGGTAAGTATGAGATCTGCGGACGGGTTTTTCCCCTCGCATTGTACTGCAGGCTCAGTTGGCCCCGTGCATGGTGGGCAAGCTTCAGTTTAAAGCCCTCGCATTGTTCTGCAGGCTCTCTTAACCAAGCTCCGTTTAAATCCTTCACTCTGACTGCAAGCTCCGTTATTCCTCACATTGGACTGCAAGACCTCAGTTTAATCCCTTACATTGGACTGCGCGCTCTCAGTTTTAATCCCTCACTTTGGCCTGCAGGCTCTCTTAAATCCCTCTCTGGACTACGAGCTCTGTTTAAATCCCTCTCTTTGGACTGCAAGCCCCGTTTAAATCCCTCTGGACTGCGGCTCCCAAATTGAATCCCTCACATTGGACTGCGAGCTCCCAGGTTAATCCCGCACGGATCTGTTATATCTGGAACTGCTTATATCTGGAGCTGTTATACCGTACCCGGAACTGCTTCATGCGGAACTGCTATATATATGGAACTGCTTATATATGGAACTGCTTATATATGGAACTGCTATATATGGAACTGCTTATATATGGAACTGCTATATAGGGAACTGCTATATATGGGACTGCTATATATGGAACTGCTTATATATGGAACGGCTTGTACACGGAACTGCTTATATGGAACTGCTCATATTGGAACTGCATATATGGTACTGCTTATATCTGGAACGCTCATATATAAAAATAAATAAATATAAATAAATATAAATATATAAATAAAAAATAAAAAACTGCAGGCTCTGTTGGATCCCTCCCATCGTTTAACTCCCTCACACCGGACTGCAGGCTCTCCGTTAAACGCCTCACTTGGTCTGCGGGCTCAGTTTTAATACCTCACTTTGGACTGCAAGCTCTATTTAAATCTCTCACATTAGACTGCAGGCTCTGTTAGGTCCCTCGGCGTCTCGTGTCCCGCAACCTCTTCCCGGCTCTCCGTGAGCCCCAAGTCGGCACGCGGCTCGGGCGCGGGAGATGTCCGTGGGCTACGTCATTGGCCCCTTCTCTCCGTCTCGCTCTAACCCGATGGGCATCGCCACCCGCAAGCACTCCAGGAAGAAGCGTCTCATACTCGTCCTCTCCTGTCCCCGCTCCGGGCCCGCCCGAGCATCAACAGCCCCTTCCCTCCAGCGCCCTTCTCCCTGCAGTCCGCTACCGTGGACCACGCGATCAGGCGATAAAGACTTTTGGCCCCGGCTCCTGGCTCTCCAAGGCCGTCATCCCGGTCGCGTTCAAGCTGCTGCCATCCACCCCGACCACTGGCGCTGTTCAGGGGTCAAGTGACGTCGGAGTTCTTCGCAGTGCGCCTCACCTTCGACTGCCGGAGTAGTCCCTCTCGTTCAACAATCTCTCGGAGGCGCCGTGTCGGATTCTGCTTAATTTTGCGCGGCTCCCCCCTGTCTCCATCTCCCCGATGATTCCCTCATAGTCGACCCACCCTCAGACTGCTCCGGGGGCTCTCTCCGCAAGCTCAGGCCCGCCTTCTCTGCCCTCGGATTCCTCCACTCCGGAAAGCCCACAGGCCCCGCCAACGCTCTGGAGTTTCTCGGCATCCGCCTCGACACACGCGCCATGGAGGCCTCCCTCCCGCTGGACAAGCTCGAACGCATCCGCGCTTTCTCCCGGTCTGCCCTGGCCTTCCCGTCACTTCGAGGCGTCCTTTCTCTCCCTCCTCGGGCATCTTCATTATGCCGTCTGTATCATTCCCCAAGGTCGTTCTTTTAATTCCAGACTCCTTCCCTCGCCGGCTCCGTCTCCTCCCTCGATGACGCGTCTGCCCGGACGCGGGGCGCTGCTCCGACCTGGCGTTCCGGTCCTGGTGCAGAGCCGCTGGGATGGTGTATCTCTCTTTTTTTTACAGTGACATCATCCTGTCTCAGATGCCCCGCGGTTCTTCACGGACGCAGCCCCGTCCGTGGGTTTTGGGGGTTTTCCAGGACCAGTGGCTCGCCGGGCCCCGGCCCGACGCTTTCCCCCGAAGCATCTCCTCCGCGCTCCACGAGATGTATCCCGTGACCGGAGCCTGCGTGCTGCGGAACCATACGTGGCATAGGAAAAGGATTTCCGTGACGTGCGACAACCTCGACGCCATTGAAATAATTAACAGAAGTCGTTCATCCTCTCCCCAAATCACACCCTCCTTAGACGCATCACATGGCTCTCAGTCTCGAACAATTTACCATCACTGTTCGTCACGTCCCTCGTCACCTAACCGTATTGCTGACTCTCTCTCTCGCTTTAAATTCCAGGAGTTCTGACGCCTCTGCCCTTCTGCCAATCCATCGCCATGCCAGATCCCCTGGACGGAATCCCTCGCCCCGGCCTAGTCCCTCCGTCTCTTCACCTTCTCTCCTCCGCTGCATCCTACATGAAAATGGGCTTCTTACGCATAAGCGAATTCACAAACTCTCACGCCACCTTTAAATGCATCCCGAGACATTGCCTCTCTGACCTGTCATATTATCCCGACTACTTCAACCTCCACCTCAAGCATTCCAAACGCAAAGGCGCTTGCAATATAGTCATAGCTCGGTCTGACACTTCTCCCTGTCCCTACAGATCCATGATGCATTACACTCGCCTCCGCTCTCGGAAAGGAGATCTCAACGGACCGTTATTCTTACCCCTGATAACCTCCCTTGTCCCCCAACTGGTTCAGAGCCCAACTAAAGTCCGTACTGCTGCTTTGTAAACTGTCTCCCCATCTCTACACAGCCCACTCCCTCCGGATAGGCGCCGCCACGCGCGCCGCGTCCCTGGGGCTCCCCCATTCCGCCCTCCAGCAGCTGGGCCGCTGGTCATCATCGGCCCTCTCCTCCAGTGGCGGAGCCAGACTTTTAAACAGAGGGTGGCCAGGGGGTGGCAAGGGTCCACATTTATACTATTCCGAAATTTTATTTCGTACAAAAACTGGCTAAACGATACATTTTAATCTTAATCTTGTCATTATTTTTAATATAAAGTGAACTGAGAGCACACTTGGAAACTACAAAGCAAAAAAGTGTGTTTAAATAGTAGTCTGAACAAAAAAGTGCCAAATAACATCATTCAAACATTGCATTACATTTTTCTTTTAACAAATTTAGCAAATTCCTACGGTTCTGGTGTAAAGCAGCAAAGATGTTGACAAACTCATCCATATTCAGCCCTGAGCCCTCCTTGACCCTACACAGAGGATACCAAAATGACTCAATCATCTGCCATGGTCGTTCTGAGATGGTTTTTAATAAGTTTTAGGACAGAGAAACTTATTTCACAAGACGCAGTACTGACAGGTATTAAAAAGATCTTTGCAAGCCTCAAAAGCTCATGAAACACTTTCCAAACGTTCCAAAAGGACAAGGAAGTCCAATAGGGACTCTCTAATCAATTTTTTCCTCCCAAGAAGCCGCCTAGTTTGATGTACCTCATGCTTAAGGTCCTCTATATCTGACTCAAAGGTTCTGCCAAATGAAAACAGGGGCTCTTCTTTCAAAAAATGTTTGGGGTCAAGCGACTGCACATCATCCATAATCTTAGCTATTTTGTTTCTTTTTTTGTGTGTGAAAAAACGCCTTCTGCCAATAGACAATCCTGCACCTGTCTGCGACACCCTCTGATTCTCTGAAACTCAATTATATAAGCTATATTTTAATACAACACAACAAATTCCTCATCATCTCAAAACATACTGCCTCCGAGTCTGACCTTCAGGTTTCATCCTGATCTACAGCCTTTTCCTAACAAAAAAAGGTCTGTAGGCAATGTTTCCTCCTTTTCTTTTCATGTTTACACTAAAGGGAAGAGGGCGATGATACGATGGGCAATTAATAATGGAAAATAAACACGCATGCACCCCGCACGCACACACGCGCACAGGCACGCACACACGCGCACAGGCACGCAGACCCACACTGGCACACACAGGCACGCACACACACGCAGACACAATGGCACGCTGACACACGCACACAGGCGCGCATACAGGCACGCACACA